TTTTCCTAAACCATGCAAGACACTATGCATTAATAGGATGCCACAGTTGCACAAAATATGTCTTTAAAATTTGGCTTTTATATTTTGAAAAGTATTTTTGGTACTTAGTAAAATCCTCATGATCTATCACAATGAAGCAAAAACATAAAATGTAATACAAAAGTAGATCAGAAATGATTTTTCAGCACAAATCAGTTATTGTGGTATGCAGTCTTTGAAAAAAGCAAGAATGACAATTCAGACAGGCAATTTTGTAATAAACTAATTCCACCTCGTATTTAGTCCTATCACAGACGCCCATCCTGAACCCCACAATGCCGATTCCACCTGGAAATGGCCAAAAAAAAAGAATTTGGCTTCCATGTTCTACAAGATTTTGCTTGTCCTTTCATTAAATGAAACCAGACAGATGAAGAAATCTTTGGGAATGATGTGAATACCGAGAAATCTGCGGTAGGGAATTTGGAAGAAAATATATTGAAAAATTAAGACATCTACCAAAACCTAAGATTGAAACCAGTATGTGAATAGGCAGCCTCCCAATGAGAGTTTTCTCCCAGTACAGGCTGCATGTACAGTCCAAACTAGGCTCATTCCTGGGTTTTGGGCTTTAGTCAAAACAAACCAGTGTTAAGGTAGCAAGCTTAGCTCAGGTCTCTTCCCCAGACTTGGCTGCTATTATGCAAATATCTTAGGACTCCTGAGTGTTTGCCATGGGCCTTCACTTGCTCGAGAATTTTCTCTGAAGTACAGAACCCTCTTCCTTACAGTGCAACAGCAGCCCATTTGGGGACTGGAAAGAAAGAAGAGGGCTGCACCTCATTCAGCTTGATGCACTGAAGTACTTGATAGATGGTGTTACGAAAATGAAGAAATTCCCTCCCTCTGCTCTACCACTCTTTCTCAGCAGGATTACCGTCTATTCATAGCAGAGGATGAAGGGCAGATTATGCTAACTTATCACAGTATGGTTATAGTTAAAATTCAGCTAAAGTGCATAAACACAATTAACAGAAGGATAGCACAAATGATCCTATAAGAAGCCTTTGACTGCTGTTCTGCAGCCCATACCACATGCAGTTCCAGCTGAGGTTGCTCTGCTTCTGGCTAGGGAGCTTACTGCAAGGAGAAGGGCAGAGGAAGATAACATAAGGAGTGGTGGCAGCCTGAAATTTATCATTCGCTGGATCAGACTATTTTAAGCATGTTCATCTATACTAGAATCACATCTTCATTTGCCTGTATAGATGTACCCTACAGACAAATACAGACTGTTTGGTGACTGAATACTGCAGCACAAATTCCCTGTAGCCCTACCTAAAGAAAATACAGTTTAAAAGCCACAATTTAGTTATAAAGTGTATGTTCAAAGCTTTTTCATTCTCTTTCTTCTTAAAGGATGCATGGAGCTCCCCGTAAAGGATGTTTACATTACAAAATCAGTAAAACAAAGCTTTAAAGAAGCTGTCAAGAATTTTAGCCCATGGTTACACTTTTAAGCCTTACAGCAAAGAATTTATTTTAGGAGACTGTGGGTTGAGGGAGTTATCTAACAGTCTGGCTGGGTAGTGAAAATGTGAATTTATCAGTAAGAGGAAGTTACCCCACACATGTCTTAGGGTTACAGCACACAGTAAGCTTGATCTCTGGTGACAAACGTTTCCTCACTGTGTTGATGAGACTATTAGATCTTAATGAAGATCTGAATTAATTCCTGTTTTTTTTTTTTCCACACAAATACAAGGCAGGAAGGAATGAACTGCCTTACAAACAAACGACCAAGCAAATACATCTGATCAACATAGTTCAAGTACTGTTAAAAGTTGCTTATCTTTACTGTGCAGTAATTGCTGAGGAATTATCTATAAAGCTCTAAATAATGTTTTGTATTTATTGCTGTATTATTCAATTTCAAGAACAGAGTCAAAGGCAGACTGACACTGGCTAAAATTAATTTGGCCTCATTCCCCATCTCTTTTAAAACCTTAAAAAAAAACCCAAAACATTAAATGATTTTTTTTTATTTTAAAATGCAGGAGGTAAAACATAATAATTGGATGCATTTGAAGAATTGTTAAGAAACTTGCAGTTTGGTGTTGAAAAACTCTTAAAGATATCAACACTGAATTCTGCACTGTGAGATCCTTTTAAAGCTCTGTACTGATAGGAGTGCACTCCTCTGTTCAGTAAAAATTTATCTGGAAGTAGTGCTTTGACAGAATTCTCTGATATATTTCCAAAAAGAGAAGCATACCAACAGAATAGCTCTCTTCATAATGCTCTTGCTAAAAATCAAAAGTTTTCATACAAGCAGTGCTGACTTAGAGTGAAACTAGCATGCTTCCCCACCATGTCTTTATCTCAATATCTAATTGAATTTAGCTGAGATCATAGCTCTCGGTTTTATTTGCTTCCCAGTCTATCCTGAAATTATGATACCATTTGCAAACCAGTACTGACTGCAAGTTGCTTTACAGTCTTGCACACTAGCCTTTACCTTGGAGAAGGCAACCTCCTCTGTCAAATTATCTGCAACAGATCCAGAAGCTACTAGTGTCACTATGTCTCAGTTGGCCTGTAGATTTGCTGGCTGTTCACGTTGCCTGGAATTATACCAGCTCCTGTTGCTGCCGCCACTGTGAGTGTGATACCAGCAAAAACAAAATTAAGAGCCTCTGGCCTGTAACATGAGTTACCCCAGCTCTCAGAAGCTGTAATACCTCTAATGCCCTAGGGGTTAGTCTGGAAAAGAAACTACGTGTAGAATTTATATTCATGGCTTGTCCTGTCAGGAACAGTTCCTCACTTTTCTTCCCAGTGTGCCAGCAAGATTAGCACTGAATCCACACAGAAAAACCCACTGAAGACACAAATGTAGTAATTACCTAGCTGCAGAAGTTAAGGAAGCTTCTTCCTCTTTACCGTTTAACTACTTTTATTTGTTCTGACTCAATATACTTTCTACCACTTAAGCCTTTGTTCAAATACTACTCTGAAGCTGTTTCATAAGCAACAGAATATTCAGGAGACCCCTGAGGGGGCAAAGAGATGAAGTAATTAATTGAGAACTGAATTTAAAGCCAATCAAGTGTTACCAAATAAAAGGAGCAAATGCTTTGAAAAATTACTGTTGAAGGCCGAGTCCTTTATTAGGAAGGACATTATTGAAGAGTATCAGAGCAATATTTATTCATCAGAAACAATCTTGTATCATAAGGCTAGACTTTCTCAAAATTACGTTTGCTGCTGTAATCTGATGTTGGACACATGCAAGAATATGGTCCTGGGAACAGGCTGAAATCCAATAACTGCCTTTATAAAGCCAGTTTATTGAGCGTTGCATAAATATTTCCTGCATGCAGTGTCACATGATGCATACATTTTTAGACTTCCCCCTGCCTTTCTTTTCTGTTTTTGACATTCACAGCGTTTTAGTCTTGTCCTTCACAAGGGAAGAATCAAGTTTAAGCTGCACACTTTGATGTTGCTTCCATGGATGTTATTATGACAGTATTCCCAATAGTATGAGCTTTTAGAGGACTGCATCTGGTTTTGGAAATAAATCATCCTCATTAAAAATTTCAATTTAATAAGTTTTCAGAAATGTGACAATTTTATTTGAACAATTCTTTAAGTCCTACTTGAAATATTTAAGATCTTTATCTTTGCTCTGTTAAAAACAGGCATTGTTAAATAAATTCACATACTTCCCATGTAATCACACAAGGAAGGTTATGCTGGATCACAGCCTTTACTATATATTCTTGATTTCTAGGAGTACTCCCATAATTCTTTACTACTAATGATCCTTTTTTTTTTCTCCTACTTAAAAGAGTATATGCCAACAAGTAAGGTTTTGAAATACAGACTTTTCACAGGAAAAAAAAAATAGAGAAAAAAAAAATCTCTTTATCAGAGTATTGTCTGCCTGAAGGCTAAAGTACAAAAATATTTTAACCACTGTTCAGTAATAGTTTTCACTCAGTCTTTTTGTTCTTCAAGAAAAAAACACCAAGTTATGAAATTCTATTGACTGAACTTAGTGCCAAAATTCCCATTGGCCGTATCATGAGTCAGGATTTCACAGGGAACATTCCCATTGGCCGTATCATGAGTCAGGATTTCACAGGGAACATTTGCATCTGCAGAGTGGGCTAGTTCTTGTAGCATGGATACGTACATAGCACTGCCAAAATAGAAAACAATTCAGAATCAGCTGTGCAAAACTATCAGAAATGGCTACACTGTCACACATCTTTTAGTTTTCCATTCACGGACATACGTGCTCCCTACTTTTCCCCCTAAATAAATAAAATGTAAATGTAAAAATGTAAATAAATAAAAGTGTAAATAAAAATGTAAAAATGTAAATAAAAATAAATAAGATAAATAAAAATAAATAAATTAAATTGCATGGAAAATTCAAACACTTCCAGTACCCATATACCAGTACCCATGAAAGGTTTGCATGTAAATATATATTATATATTATATATTATACATTTTATATATAGTAATCTATAATACATTCTTTCAGTTCTCCCTCAGATGTGACTGAAGTCAAAATGGAGAATAAATTGATTACTCAGTTATGGTTTAGAATGTTGAAATAAACTTTATAAATTTTATACCACTTACTATTCTTCATGCTGTAATACCAAACTTTCTGAAACAAATTGAATATACCTCTCTCACTATTTCTGTGTATGTATGATCATATGCTGCCTTCACTTTAGCAAGATGGCTTTCATTAACAGTGAAATAAAACCTGTGCTGCTTTTATTCAGTGAGTTTTAACCATTCTGTTCTCCTCTTCCATTTAAGTGTCAGTTTTAAACTGCTCGATCTGTTTCATGCTTCTTCACTGCTGACATTTAACTTCTTTAAAGATTCAAGAGAGACAGGCCAAGTGAGCAACAGATAGGTAAGAAAGCAAATGGGTTAGTCTCCTGTTGAACTTGCTTGGATAAAAAACCACTAAGACTGTATTTTTTCTTCAGGGTGCAAGTGGAGAGACCATGAATGAAAACAAATATCTGAACACAGATTCCAGCACAGGATCAGTGGAAGCAACCAGCAAGCCATTACCATTTAAGGATCCAAACTTCATTGTAAGTATATTTGTAAGTAATTGTAAGTAATTTGACATCCTAAATTATTCAAATAAAAATTAACTAGGTTTCTATTTAATCATATTGGTAGTGTAAATAGTAAGAAAGTCAGCTAACAGACAAACAGGAAGTCAGCAATTTTTAGGAAATTCAGGATGGCACTGAAGCAGAGGCAGGGTTGTAATACTAAATTCTGGAAAAGATCCAGCAAACCAGATAAATCAAGTGTGTACAAAAGCTTTATGATGTGACATATAACAAAATACCATTACTAGAAAGTAATAATTTATACTGCTATAAATGCAGGAATCCCATTTCCTAGTTATTAGTCAAGGCACGTTGCAAAATATTTGAACTAAAAATCAACCATATAGTAATTATCAACTGGCATTCTGCTCCTTTCCTGGGCCCTGAAACTCTAACTGACCTTTGGTGCTAGATTTAACAGCAAATACTCTGTACTCTTCATAAGTCTCACCTTCCAAAGTTCAGAAGACATGTTAACTTTGACAGCTGACAAAATAAGGCTGCTAAAACAATGTGAGATTTAAACTGGGGGAGAAGGTGAAGGAAGACTAAAGCTAAAATACAATCATTGTTGAGTTTGTCTTTAATATTTTTTAATCTTGCCCCTCTAGGGTCAACTCTTTGACACCGTGTACAAATGCTCACCAGATCAGTAGGCTACTCAGACTGCTGGCCTTATGTCAGTACTTAAAAAGAAGCATTTTATCCTACATTTAATTTTGCATGAGTAAGATACAATATCCTACAGCATAATACCTGAGTAATCAGGCTTTATATACCTAACTAAGCAGGAGTTTGGTAGGGAGTATAAAATTTATCTCCTACTTGCTAGTTGCTCTGTATCTGCTTTGCAGACTTCTTCTGTCATAGCTAAATGCACGACTAACAAAGATTTGAACTTACATGGAAAGTGAGCTGTGGAGCCCTCTAGACATGATGTTATTAGTCTAATCTGTTTATTCTCACCTGTATTGCTTTTTTAAAGCAATTGAAAGTATTTTCCACGTACTTTACACATTTCATTTTGTTTCCATGTAACTTTGAATCTTGGTTAGAGTCATGCATTTAACCAAAATATAGAAGGAAATGCAGTAGCTACCAAATTTCATCTTACTTCCTTTTTATCTGCCTCTCCCAGTTCCCCTAAACTGGCACACAGGCCCTTATGTAGATTTTTCTGTAAATAATCATTTCTAGTTTGCTCTACAAAGGACTGCAGCCACTTTTTCTCATTATCAATAACAAAGAGAATCAAACTGGAAACAAAACTTTGTATTTGATTCACATCTTACCGAAGTCAAGTAGACTTTTCCTTTCAACTACATTGGGCTTCAGATCAAGACATAAGTGCCAGCTTTTGGAAAACAAAACAAAACAAAACAAAAAGAATTACCTTAAAAAATCTTCATGGGGGGAAATTTCATATAATGGATTTAGAAGTGTGGTAGTACACCTATTTTCATCCCGTATTCCAGCAGTTACACTGATCTCTTGATTGCTTGGGTGTTACAGAGCAAGGATTTTGCTGTACTTTTTGTATTGAATATGCATTCTCAGAAAGGTTGATATATGATCGGCTCACAGGCATCCTTCTTATGATGAAGAAAATCCTATGGAGAAAAAGTACTTCTAGTTGAATCCTTCTTCCTATCATTATCAATAGGAATGCATGATAATTTATAAAACATCACAGCAGAAGTGTTTGCAGAATTTTGCTAAGTTTTGGCAAGACTGGTGTGGCAGGTAGTAAACAAACAGAGATAGCAACTCCCTAGTTGCAAGAACATTATCTTTTCTGAAGTAAAGCTGAAAATCTGTGTCCTTTGATCATTTAGAGGTAGCACAGTGTGTTGTGCATTTTCTTCCTCTGGAGAGACATAAATAAATTATCCATAGCAATCAAATTTGATAACTGAAATTACCATTATAGTATGCATAGCAGGCTTTCTGTTAGTGTAGCTTTCAAAATGCAAAACTGTCTTAACAGCCCACATTCTCTTATTCTCTTTCTATTCTTGTCTTCTGTCATTTGAAAGAAAAACACCATTTCCAGACAACTTCTGATAGTACTCATTACATTTTGCAAGATCAGATGTATTTTCTACAGCCATAGATAACTTAAAAGAGATAGAGCTGCACCTGTAATTTTCCATGTGCCGTAAAAAGAAGAGAGAATTTATCCATGTAATGACAATTTTAGACACAACTTCATAGCAATAAGTTCTAATATGATGGGAAGTACATACAGAATCCTGTAATCTCAGACTTAACCTAACCACATTGAGTTTCTATTTCCATGTAAAAAGCAGATTTTCATTTCCTTCAGTTAATCCAAAATGTAGTAGCTTTGACACAGTTCAAATAGCTTTATTTTTCTTGCAAGCAAGATTAAAGTGTTCAGTGTGCTAGTCTACTTACTAAGTAACTGTGGATAACAAATGGTTTGTTACAAGATGAGACATACCAGAAAGACTATGAAATAAAATTGTCATTCTGAAATAGTAATATATTTTTTTCTTTAAACATTGTGTTTTTAATTCTAGCATTCCAGCATTGGTGGAGCAGCAGCTGGCAAGAAAAACAGAACTTGGAAGAACCTAAAACAAATCCTTGCTTCTGAAAGGGCATTGCCATGGCAACTAAATGATCCTAGCTGTAAGCAGCTTAGACACTTTGTATTTATTTATAAATAATAAAATCCACACAAATAACTTTCCTTAAATCAAAATTATTTTATCAGTGTACACAGTATCCTACTTTAAGAGAGTCCAATAATACATCTAAGATATGGTCTACTATTTTCACAAGCATTAAATTGAAAGTAAGAGGAGGAAGTAATCATGTTATAAGAAAGTTCAAATACATATGGAGTGCAAAATTAATGAAGGAAATATATTAATCAGAAACAAGTCATAAATTGCTTATTCTCATCAAGTTTTTGTCACTGCTTAGGAGCCTCACAAAGGCTTTTCTACACAAAGCCCTCATATTTTATGACAGGTAAGTCTGTACTGCGGTAGCAGTAGCTTGATTAGCTATATTTGAACTGTTTTAAGGGAGATTCAGCTAGCCATATACTTGCAGCAGCTCAGTCCACAGCCCAAGCTTGCTATCCAGCTCCTTATCAGAGTTTCTTGTGAGATTTTATTCCTACATCCCATATTTAGTTCAGCATATCTGAAACAGCACTCCAGATTTACAGCTAGCTTGTGTACATTTATAGGAGTGGAGTTACAGCAGTGTTTCTAGTTTTGATATATCCAAATCTCTTCATAAAGTGGGATACTGGTAAGCCTTGCTAGAGGCAGAATCCAAAGTCTGGATTTTACTTAGAAGGCATCTTAAAATTGAGCACATGCATATGCATTTTGTCAGACTTGATGCTCTATCCAAAAATAACTTGCCATTTTGGTAAATGTGTGAGACACCACTATTATGGAAAAATGCAGACTATTGAATGCTTCTGGCTATCGTAACTGACAATCTGCTGATGTTGCTGTTTTCATTACATTGTATTTGCAACGGTAAACTTGCAGTCTGTTTTTTGAGAGGGTGAGAAAACAAGTTCAGTTGCTTATTTAAAAACAGTTGTCTTGCATTTGTTTCTTTTGAATTAAGCGATTTAGATAATTAAGTAATTTAGATAATTGATATGAATGGAGCATTTCATCTTATTTTAACACCTAATTCAAGTGCAAGGTTAATCAGGAAGGAGGAAATAAATGAGGAAAAAATGGGATTTTTGTGAACATTAAAACCTGGGGAATTAACTACTGAAACATACCACTTGCATCTTACAAAAGCAAATGAGAGTAGTTGCTATTTGTCTAAAAGGCATGAAAGAATAGCAATTGCCATCATTTAATTTTAACATTCAGATAATATTCTAGGTCATTGACCAGGCTTAAAGTGGTACATACTTAAAGATTTATCTGATTTAAAAGATTACTTTGCTTTCCTGGATTACAGTATTTCAGAACTGCAGTCTTGAGCAATGTCTCATGGTCTTAACATTCAGCATACATATGCTAATGGCTGTTTTTTGCAAATAATTCTGACTGCAAGGGAGATTGTCATTAAGACTCATAGAAACCAATGCACTTAAAATGCAGTTGAGGAGCTCTCTTGACATTTTCCTTTTAGGAATAGAAGTTCTGCTGACTGAACTCTTATTAGTGAGGTGAGCACAGTCAGGCTGTTAGTTACAATGCCAGTAGGCTCGATATTTTCAGAGGTGATTCTGCTTAATGCTTATTGTCTTAGTGCTGCTAGTTAGTACAGACCTCAAAGTATAGGCAGCTTTTTAGAGAAGTATGTTATCTCCTTACATTTTGTCTTTGCTTTTCTGAGTATATGTATATGACAAACTGAACCCTTTGTTTCTCTCTAGATTTTAATATTGATGCTCCTCCTTCCTTTAAGCCTGCCAAGAAATATTCAGACATTTCAGGACTTCCAGTAAGTATTTTATTTGTCTCAACGAAGTTGGCATCTCACTTCCCACAGCAAAATAAGATCCTGCCTTGTAAAAGATGGACTTGCTGAAGCTCCAGTTCAGGCTATGCTTAACAGTAGTCCAATGATTCAGGGCCAAATCCTCAATATTATTGTTATATCACAAAGCTCTCAGGATCTTAATAGGTGCCTATATTAAGTACCTTGTCCTGCCAGGTGGCTTGTGTCACTTTCCAAGCTGTGGGAAAGTGTAGTGTCAAGAAGGCGCCAGTGACCTGTAGTTTCCATCACTTCTAACCTTGCCAAGCTTTAACCACAAACACTGAAACTTTCCATGCAGAGCATTTGCCAAAGGATGATAATTTTTCATTACATCTTTCAGGGATTCAAAAAGATGGTTCAACAATTTCCAAGAATTATTAGACATAGCTATATTGATTGGTTCAGTTTAAAAACTAATTCTTACAGTCATGGCTTTAAAATTTCCCTCAAACACCTCAGCCTAAGATGGACACTTGGCATAAGTACTTAAGAATCTCATGCTTCAGAGCAGGAACGTGTGATTTTAGCTGATGCTATCAGCTGATTAGAATAGCTGATTAAAATCAGCTATTTAGCTGATTTTAAATCTCACAACCATGATACAAATAGGTTCTGTTATATTGTTTTGTTAAAAATAAAATCTTTTTGATTTTTGAAGTCTTTGAAAGATCCTGATTTGCACATGCTCAAGAAAAGCATCAGCCATTACAGTTTGGTACCTGAGTTCTTGAGTTCTGAAAAGATTCTGTTGGCTCAAAATACAAGTAAAGTCATTGGATTCTGGCCATCAAAAATTCTGTCTTGCTGATGCCACTCTTTCTATATGACATGAAGAATTTCACTTAAAACAAAGGCTAGTAACAGCATATTCTTCTCACTTTCTGGATGCTCACTTTCAAACCACAGTGATTTATTTGCAGAAGCATGTATATCTGTCTATTACAATTGGGTTTTTTTCCCTATTTATTTATTTATTTTTAATTTTCCAGCCTTTGAATGCACTTTAGGACAAGTTTCGTATTTTACCTGGCCTGCAAGGTTTCTTGAGACCATGATAAAAATACCACATTTTAAAAAAATCTTTACTGTTAAGGTAACTGAGATGGCCTGTCCTTTAAATTGTTACACCAGGAATGTTTCATAAAAAGCACTAAGTTTATTTTCAAGATCTCTTCCTAATAGGAATATACATGGCATATAATAATGTTTTAGTAATCTAGGAAGAAAATATATTTTTTTGTGAAATCTGAAAGCATCTGTGTAAAAATATGTCATTTATTCTATGATAATGCTGGAATTCCCCAAGAGAAAAAAAAATAAAATACATTCCTTAGCATTATTCATTTAGGGAAGAATTAAATACTTGATCATGTGAAAAAATAAAAAAAGAGAGAGAGCAGTTTATTAAAACACTCATCAGTATATCTGCAGTTACATTAACTGCCACAATTAATTTATATTGATTCTCTTTGCTTGCTGTGTGGTAAAGTAAATGGAATTAAATCCACTAATGGTCTATGTACAGCAGCCAATATACATTTTTAAGGCAGCTTAACACTTAAAAGCTCTTATTTATGTATGATATTGACATTGTAAAATAGAAATTTTATTTTCAAACTTGCAAGATGAGTGTTTTGATATACTGACATACAAAACAAAGTAATTTAATCTTACAAAGATTAAAACAAACTCCAAGGGTTTAAATTTCTCTTCCTTTCTTGAAAATAGAACAGGCATTTAGCTGCAGGAGCATATTAAGATAACCATTTTACTGAAGAGCGTGCGTCTGTGTCTGTGAGAAATTTTACATCATTTGTCTTTTTTTGTTACAATTTTTTTAATTACTGTCAAAGTAGAAGTAAAGCTTTCAGACTGAAATCATAGAATAAATACTGTATCTTGCTATAGATTAGTTATGATACATTACTGCATACAAACATTCAACTGTACTACCTGATAAGTAGTATGAAATTTGTAAAGAAACGTCACAATTCTTTTCACCTAGACTAGTGCATAAGACAGCACAGATAGTAGGTGTTGTTTGGCTACTTGATTGCAGAATCATGAAAAGCAGTCAGGCTTTTAGGCTTTTCTTAGTCATGTGAGGTCAGAGTGTGAAATAAAGTTTAAGATAAAAATACTTTGATACCTGGTGTAGCTGCAAAGTGGTGGCTGCACTGTTGGCCACATCAGATTAACATTGCAGCATTTCTTTGTAAAGAAGCAAGCTACAAATACTCAAAAAATTCTGCTACATCTTACCAGTCCAGAAAGTTAATTGGGTTGAAATACAACAAAAAACTTCTCTAAATTGTTTTACCATTGACAATAGATTCTTTCCAATATAAAGATGGTAGAAGACTCAACACTCAAGTCTTAACTATAGATGGAAGGAATGCTGCAGTACTTCATGGCCTTTTCCTTTTTAGTAGGAGTATCTCAAGGGATTTAAACGGCCTGAGTCTTGCAGCCTGTCATCTCCTGTTAAGGAAACGTAAATAAACCTCTTTTAGAGCACTGGCAGACATCCAGAATATAATACTAAAAGTGTCATGACTGGTTCCTGGAAGCTAGAGGTGGATAGCCTGGAGGGCTGTCTTCTTCCAGCCCAGCGGGGTTGTCCCACTAGCCAGTCCCCCCTCAAGGTTTCTGTGACAAAAGAAAAGGGGGAGAATGGAATGAACTTGGCCCAGCTCCCAGGCACCCAAGAGCCAAATACAGCAGAGGATATAAGCACAGCCTGGAGTTTGGGGGTCAGGATACTATCCTGAAAGCAGAAATTCATGAGTTCTTATCAGAACTCATTTCTTATCAGTTCAGTCACAGAATCGTAAGCTGAGACTCTTTTGCTTTACTAACCATTTTAAAGTAAATTAAAAGCTAAAGAGTATTCAGGATGGGAAAAACAGTCCAAAGCCATCACAGTCCCCATAATTCAGTCTCTTTATGGGTAATTTATTGGCACCAGCCTGACTCTTTGGAGAGATGCCTTGTGAGAGACTGCACAAGACAGAGTTGCTAGGGTGAGTTTAGAGAGTTGTGAAATTTCTTTTGCACTAGGTTTTGTTTTTAACCCTCTGTTATTTTTAACACATTTCAAATGTAATTTTATAGACATCTATTAACTTCTCATAAGCTCTAACACAAAAGAAGAATAAAAAGTGCTAATTTATGGCACATGGTAGAGCAGCAGTGCTGTTACTGGAAAAGAAATAGAAAGTTTGCGGGTGTTGTATTTGAACACCTTTTAGTGTTCTGAGATTTTATTTGAATAGCATCTTTGCCATTCTTTCTTTTTTTTTTTTTTTCAGGCAAGCTATACAGATCCCCAGAGTAAACTGAGATTTAGTACTATTGAAGAATTTGCCTATATTCGGATGCTCCCTTCAGATGTGGTTACAGGATATCTTGCTCTAAGGAAAGCAACAAGTATTGTTTCCTAAAGGGACCAAAAGCAATTGTATTTCACTTGTGAACAGTGCTAGCACTTGGGATCATGATGAACGCTGACCGCAGGATTGAGATTTTTCAAAAATACAAGTTCGTACTTATATATGGAAGTAGTTGATGATACCTGCAATTCAAAGAACATATGGTTTTTGATAAATACTGATATTTGTTTGTTTGCCAACTTGTAAGTAATTGGTCACAAGCTAACTTAAATGTTAAGGATATAACAAGGATAGCATAAGGATCCTAATGCCTCAGTTACATTTCTGTAGAATTTCACACCCATCCTCTATATTCTACATAATCCTGTTATTCAGAAAAGGAAAAAGTCATTTGAATAAAGGAAAAGGTACCAGGATATTCTAAAATTGCCGTGCAAATATGCTTGCTGCTTGGCTATGGAGAAGTTTGTCCTACCTGAAAAATAAAGCTAAAATACTAAGTGCTGCTATTGTGATGATTGATGATCGTATTAGACATTGTGGAAATTAAAAACCTTCATACATATATTTAAACTGGAAGAGTTGTCAGCATAAATAAAGTTGGACTCAGTCGTGAGCAAAATATCCTAGTGAATACATATAAAGGAGTTAATAATCAAGCTGGGCCTCTTTAGCCTGGAGAAGGCCTGGAGAAGGCTGAGAAGGGATCTTACAAACATGTACAAGTACCTGAGGGGAGAATGTACGGAGAATAACTTCTCAGTGGTGGCCAGTGACAGGACAAGGGTTAACAGGTACAAGCTGAAGTACCAGAAGTTTCATCTGCATGTAAGGAAGAATTTCTTGACTGTGAGAGTGACAGTGGTCTGGAACAGGCTGCCCAGAGAGATCTCCTTTGGAGATTTTCAAAATCTGCCTGGATGCCACTCTGTGCCACGTGTTCTAGGTATCCCTGCTTGAGCAGGAGGGTTGGACTAGAAGATCTCTGGAGTTCCCTTACAACCTTAACCATTCTGTGATTCTGTGGTCAAATGAAAAGATAACTAATGTAACACTGTAGCTTTTAATTGCTTTATTTCACAGTCTGAATTTTCTTCTACCTCTGCTTTTTTATACTTATTTCTAGGACTTCTAAAACATGCTAAAAAGGCAGGAATTCCACTATGAAATGATGTTCTACCATCCAGATGGTCTTCAGCAAGACAAGAGCTTTAGGTGTGTACACCATGAGGTCCCCAAAGAGTAATGAAGAGCAATTGAATGCTGTTGTCCTTTAGAAATAGGAGAATGAGGGAGAGTTTAGATCCCTATCTAGCATATTGAGAAGTACTTGCTGACTTGCTGAATAATTTCTGCAAATTGAGCTTAGGATGAGTAGGCAATTTTTTTCTGCCATTCTTTCTTTTTGTCCTCTTTCTTATGACAGGTCATGGATTTGTTTTCTTTCTGCTTCTGTGCCTTGTTGCAGCATTTTCTACACATCAGGTTTTGATTTCTTTGTCTGAATACCAAGTGTAGTGTCAGCTGTTCCTAGCCTCCAGCCACACAGTCTGCTCCAATTCACTTTGATACTCCATAGATTATCCTTCAGCTGTGGCAGTTATCCCACCTAACTCTGAGTCAGCAGGCAAGAAAGGCTGCTAGACAAATTACCGCTTGTTGTGGGAATATTGTCGTCCTGCAGGAAGAACTTGTGCTTAATAGCAGGCAGTACCATGTGCTTAATAGAAGACTTGTCCCATAGTTTTTTGATTACTTGATTGTCCTGTTAGTAAGCAGCTCAGTCGCTGAGCACTAGCAAACACAGGCAGTCCATTTCATCCCAGTTCTGTCATGGACACTGTCATGTTGTGCAAATCTTATCTCAGTGCACAGGAAGTGTACAATGGCAAATAGTTAATGTCTAAGCTTCTTGGATGTACATTTTCACAGAAATGTTAATTAGTACAGATTTATTCTCATTGAAGGAATGAATATGCAGAGCACTATTAATGATAGTTTAATTTCAACTACAAAGCAGAAAAAAAACCCTAGTAACAGAACACATTATTTACTCTGGGATTCATTCCTTGTTTTTTATGATCTAGCATTTACAAAAACAAAGTAATTTCAAAAGTCTTTGAGAGGATTGCAATGGATCCTTCAAAGCCCTGGAAATTAGATAATGCTACAACCATATCACAGAAGAAAAATTAGAGTATCTCTCCTCATGCCAGTAAGCATCGAAGCCACATTCACTTTGCATCTGAGTTTTAGAATAGATGTTTTTAACTTTATGTACTGAAAACATGTTTGCAAGATAAGCTTAACAGTGAAACATACATACATAAAATTGTTTAAGATATGTTTAGCATAGAATATTTCTATGGAATAAGTAGACAACAGCAAAAAAAAAAAAAAAAAAAAGATTTCACCACCTTCTTCACCTTTACTCCCACAAATATTTTTTACCATTTTTGGGGAATGACTGTTTAGGAGCAGAGCCTCCCTCACTGTCAGCAGCATTCATACACATTCCATGCTCTCCTGCAGTATATGTTATCACTCATTCAGCTTTGAGAATTTAAGAGTCTTAATAAATGGAAAACAGAAGATTAAACAGATTAAACCAGGCAAAAATGTTGATACTATCTTGATGCTTTTAATTCATACAATAAGCTGCTATATTTTCCTTTCTTTCCTTGCTTTTTCTTCCTTTTTTTTTCTCTCTTAATCTCTAATGCCTCACTTCAAAATTGACCACCAGAATCATTCAACGTTACATCAAACATCACCAGTTTACTGCGTAGAACAATCCAAACATATTTGACTTCACTGGAAGCTGAGGATAGAAAAGATCTAGTAGCCAACACATAAAACTATCATTCAGTCTAACTCAGCTCTTTTGGGAAATCACGAGTGGACCTGCTAGTCTCATCAATGACTTCTTCAAAAACTGAACATTATCTACTTTGCTGTCTAAAAATCAAAAATATGAACGGATAAGGACCTAGCCTGTGCCACAGAGCAGTTTTTAAATTTATCGCCCTCTTTAAGGGAAGTGAAATTTGTGAAGTATGTTTATATTTAAAAGTACTTACAGAAAGTTATAAAGACATAAATAAAAAAGTTGAATTTAACGTGCAAAGATAACAAAAGAAACGTATTTAAAAAAAAGAAGCAGCAACAAATACTTGGAGTATTTCCCCCATAAAACTTGGAGAAATGGATTTTGATAATACTACTGTTCCATAAGTAATACAGACTGCTAAAAGCAGGGCTTTTGTTAATGTACAGTTGTAACTATCTGTCAGGTATTAACTGAGTATGATACAGACCATGGCTTCAGCCTCACATATATTTATACTAACATGTTTTATTATAATCCCTCATGATTACACCAGTAATGGTGCAAAGGATACCGGTTGCAAAGCTCTCACAGAACTGACATTAGTGGGGAGAGCAGGGTACTGTATCTCTAGGGCTCTTTGTTGACTGTTAACTGTTCTGTACAGCAGTTTTTTGCTTTCCAAGGAACCTTCACAGCCTCTCCCTCTGCCTTGTACCCTTATGTTCCCACAAAAGGAATGGCCACTTCAGCAAAGTTAGTTCACAAAGGCCTTAAGGCGTCTCAGAACCCTATTCTCCTGCCTGGATTTCTTTGTCTTCTCCCACTGCAGTGCTCTAGATCTTCGTGTACTGTACATAGGCCTCCACAGAGGACAGACGACACATGTGTCTTGATCTTTAGACATGTCAAGGAAAAGAAGGCGATCAAGAGTAGTCAGCCTGGATTCACCAAGAGGAAGTTGTTTGATGAACCTGATAGCAATGGGATGACTGGCTGCATGGATGATAAGAAAGATGTGTATGTTGTCTACCTTGACTTCAGCAAGGCTTTCGACACCGTACCCCATATCCTCATGGGGAAGGTCAGGAAGTGTGGCTTAGATGAGCAGACAGTGAGGTGAATTGAGAACTGGGTGCATGGCAAAGCTCTGAAGGTCATGATAAATGGAGCCCAGTCCAGTTGGAAGACTGTGGCCAGTGGTGTCCCGCAGGGATCAGTACTGGGCCCAGTGCTGTTCAACTTGTTCATCAGTGATTCAGATGAGGAGACAGAGAGCACCTTCAGCAAACTTGTGGATGATACAAGCTGGATGGAGTGGCCAACACTCCAGAGGGCTGTGCTGACATTTAGAGGGACCTTAACAGGCTGGAGAGTTGGACAGGGAGGAACCTTACGAGGTTCAAAAAGGACAAGTGCAGGGCCCTGCTGCACCTGGGGAGGAATGACCCCCAGACACCAGTACAGATTAGGAATTGACCTGCTGGAGAGCAGCTCCACAGAGAGGGACTTGGGAGTCTTGGTTGGCATCAAGTTAACCATGAGGCAGCAGTGTTCCCATGTGGTCAAGAAGGCCAGTGGGATCCTGGCCTGCTAGGAGTGTTGCTAGCAGGTCAAGGGAGGGGATCCTGCCCCTCTACTCAGCCCTGGTGAGGCTGCACCTGGAGTATTGTGTGCGGTTCTGGGCTCCCCAGTATAAGAGGGATGTGGAACTTCCAGAGTCCAACATACAGCAACAAAGATGATTAAGGGACTGGAGCATCCGAGGAAAAAACCTAAGCAAGCTAGGCCTGTTTAGCCTAGAGAAGACTGAGAGGAGATCTGATCAAACCAAACTCTTCTTGGTGGTGGCCAATGACAGAACGAGGGGTAATGGGTACAAGTTCAACTTGTACCCACTTCACTGTGAGTGTGACCGAGCTCTCTAACAGACTGCCCAGAGAGGTTGTGGACTCTCCTTTTCTGGAGATGTTCAAAACTCACCTGGATGCCACCTTGTGCCACATGCTGTAGGTGTCCCTGCTTGAGCAGGGAGTTTGGACTAGATGATCTCTAGAGATCCCTTTCAATCTCAACCATTCTGTGATCTCCTTTGACAGAAATTTGTAAATGTCAAAATGACACAAGGAAGGAAAAGAAAGGAAAAGAAAGGGGAGGTGTTTTTACCAGTGAAGAATATTGAACTAAAAATGACCTAGTGTAGGGTTAAAAAGCTGTGGTAAAACCATTCTATTAAGGAAAGGCTCCAGCTCCCCACATGATTAAAATGTCTTTCCCTGAAAAAAAAAGTGGTCTTTAATAAATTAAGACAACAATTTATTATTAGAAAACCTACCAAGAGGATTTAAGGCCTCTTAAGTTCTCTAACAGTGTTTGTTGTTTACGTATTGCAAGGAAGGAGACATTGACAGATACACTGTCATATTCAGGGAGGCGGGAGAAATAACACAGTGCTCCTTTTAGAAAGGACAGTCAAGTGGTATTGATATTACTACCAAACACTTACACTGAAATGATGATACCATTAACATGAGAATTCACAGCAGTGCCCTGCTATCTTTCTCATATATGTGTTCCCAATTATAAACCATTGTTCTTTATCTGCTGAGGGGTGGGCAGT